TATCTATCAAAACGCCTGCCATTTGAAATAAATAAATACTCACCGAAATAATTACAATTCCTATAATGGCAGACATTAAGGGTAGAACCATATTAAGTCCAGTTGATAGGCCCCAATTCTTCGGTCGTTTTGGGTCTATCGTAGAGAGGTACACAATGACAAGAATGCTTCCAGTAATAAGCTCAACCACAAAAGCGTGTCCTGCTGAAACACTAGGCATTGGTTGTATCAAATGCAATTTCGTTCCATGGTGTCCAAAGGGAGTGAGTTTCAATCCAATTATCATGGCCAGAAAAGCTCCCACAAACTGGGCAAGCCAGTAGACCAGTAGATGACTCAGGTTGATATTCTGTTGTAGAAATGATGTCAAGGAAATGATGGGATTGATGTGACCACCGCTAATAGGATAAATTATCCAGATCGAGACATAAAATACGCCTCCCATTGCTATTCCTGCCATCAGAGGTTCGCAACCCGTTGGAGAAGGGATGATATTTGATGGTAGGATGAAAAGAGCTGAGCCAATAAGTTCAGCAACAAAAATTCGAGTCATAAGCCATAGGTACTTATTCCATGGTAGATCTCCAATGAATTGAAGATGTGTATGCGGTAGATCTTGACTGTGATGACAAATGAAACAATTTCAGCTTCAATTTGAGCATAAAAAACATTTCATGAACATCTTAAATGTGTAAAATCTATAATTGATTTTCGCTTCAAATTATACTCCATTCAATGCAACTTTATTCAAGGCCAATTTATTGAGCATTTTTAAGGTAACTTATCCAAATATTAAAAAAGGAAACTTACTCTTCATTAGACAACATTTTGTTTTGTCAGTTTCAACCACGTGGAAATGAGGGAATGACGGATCAATATTCATTCATATATTCTTCAATATTCTTCATTTGCTTATATTAAAAGGCGTATTCTAAGCGAGTGAAAAACTGCAATGCGTCTATCCACTTAATCCACAATCTGTAGACTAATTAATAATCAATAAAAGATGAAGTCTGTTAAAACAACTCCTGGAAAAATGTGGCATCTGATAAGGCGGTTTATTGGAGAATTTATGTCTGCCTTCATTACTAATTTACCGGCTCTTTTCTTCGATCATACCAGAAAGAATCAACATTTCGTCAATGGAATTTACTCAGCCTCTATTATTTATTTGGCCATCTTTGTCACTTTTATCATAAGTGGAGCCCAAATAAACCCCATGACAACATTGGCTGTTGTTTTAACGCGTAGAATGTCGATAGTCTTCGTTCCATTCTATCTTATAGCTCAACTCCTTGGGACTGCCTGTGCGTTATTGGCTGGAATTGTACTTTCTCCATTCGCAAGGAATTTAACTCAACCTGGCATGCCTATGCCAGGTCCTGGGGTTTCTGACGATCAAGCGATTATCATGGAGATCATCATCACATTCGTATTGGAATTAGCAATTGTGGCATTGCTAGATGAACTTAGATTGCCATCATTTAACTGCCTGAATAGGATCAATGCCTTTGTTTTATTGATTGGGGTATTCTTTTGGATTGAAACCACTGCCGTAAGTATCCAAATTTTTGCCTTTCAATAATAATGAGTCCATCTTTTCAAATGTCAAGTAGATTAACGAGATCATGCATATTGACATTTAAAGTCCCATTCATTCACTTCTTGTCACATTCATAACTCGAAGGAAATAGCGTCCACTATTCAATATTCTTTTCCCTTCGTTTCTGTTAAGTATGAATTTTAGTGAGGACTTAGCGATGTCAGTTTATATTAAATATTTCTGATCATTTGAACATTTGCCTCCTTTGCATTTTAGTGGCTTCTTTTCGAAAGTAATGCTAATAATTTAATAGCACAAAAACTTGTAATAAATCACTCTTATTCATTATCCAAGTTCACACTTGATTTAAGACGTTTTGCGGCGTAATTGTAGATTCCAATATCTGGAGCCTGCACGAATCCGGCGCGGTCCCTAGCTGCATCGCTGATCAACTTGAGTTTCAAAAGACAATATGTAAGTACTTTCATTCAAACAAAAATTCCTCCACTCCACTTGGATAAAGTTTTCTTTCGATCGTCATTTGCAGATTTACCTCATCGGGCCACCTATAGGCGCAACTTTGGCAGTTCTAGTTCAGGAAGTATTCCTATCACCGGATGCTTCTTTTGCCAGACTTCGAGCCCTCTTAAACATTAGAGAACATTTTGATCGCAATATATTTCACTCTGAACAAACGCTTCAAACTCAGAACGCTAATGTGAAGATTGACTATTTCAGAAAGTCGTCTTCTGGTTCATTTACCTCAACCAAGGAGAGCTTTGAGGTCGATTATAATAGGATTCCCAGAATGAGATTACATTTTCCAAGGTTATTTAACGCAGTGCTCACGCGAGTTTCAAGCTCCAGTATTGAAGACCCAGACACCCAACATTAGCGAAAAGCCTGCCATCAATGCCCCATTTAAATGCCTTGAGATGCGAAGCAAAAAGCTAACTCGGTCTTTTGAATAATGATCAAAATAGTAACTAAAACGCTACTTATTTATAACAGTAGAAGGTATTTGATATATAATAAAATATTTTGAACGGGTTGCCAGCCGGCATAATGGGATTTACATTTAAAGGTTTCCTTGGAAGTTTACGAGCTTGACGTAAAAAAATTGCTAGGGGAGCTTTTATTCAGTTTTTTTCAATCCACTATAAATCCCTAAAGGTGAATTGATGCAAAATTTGAGTTTCTTACCATTGAAAGCTCTCCTCCCATACACCCGATGACAAATCAATTCAAATAGACTGGCTCCTTATTAGAGCGGTTAAAAGGAAAAATCCTCTTTTTAGCCCATCTAAATGTCATCAACACTGGTTTGAGTGCTCTTGGAAATGAAAATACTTCGCAAAATCCCCAATTTTCAAATTCAAACTGAAGACTTTAGTCTCATTATCAGTGGACTCTTTTTTTTCAGTTTTATGCCAACATTTTGTAATAAATTCTCCAAATACGAAATGTCTGGGTGTAATTGAATTCACTACATGTGATCTGACCTCTGAGTCCAAGTTAGATGTGTGATCACGGTGTCAAACAGAAAATATGGGCGTGTTAGATGCCTACCGATATACAGAATTTTTAAATTAACTAATGTAAAATGAGGAAAATTTTACTAAAAAGCACATAACGCGGGTTATAAGAATTGGTCTTAAAACGTTTCATACTCAATTGGGGAATTACCTGATTTTTCTTATTTTGAAGTTGGCAATACTTCTGAAATGTTCATTGGCAACTTTCAGAATTTTACATGACGCTTCCTTGAATTTCAGACCATGTAAAAATTTATTTACCTCATCTATCTTACTAATATCAGTTCATAAGCCTCAAAGTGGACCTCAAGAACTTGGAAATCTATCAGTCAGCATCTGAAAGCTTAAAATAGCAATATGGTTCCCTAGGGGTTGAAATAGGGTATTGGGAGTCTTATATTGCCCTATTTCTGATACCAAGGAGTTTTACACTCTCTCCTAAGGCCTATTATTGACCTTTTAATATCCAAATATTCTAAATCTTAGTTGCTACTATTTGATCCATGTGTATGATAAATATCATAAAGCCTGCCATTTGAAATAATAATAATGTTCAGTAACGGGACACACTAGATCCTCTTTCGAAGGAGAAATAGAGGCCATTAGGATAGCACTATGCCAATTATGTTGCCTGGATACGAAATTCACCAAAGCGGTGATACTTTCGGACTCACAGTCAGCAATAGACTCTATTGGAAACAGAGAGACACCCAAAACAGCTGAGTTAAACGAGTGGAAACAGAGAGCCACCCAAAACAGCTGAATAAAGGTATGTAGATAGCCACCCAAAACAGCTGAGATAAAGGAATGTAGAAAACTCCATGAGCTGCTGAGAGAGGAAAACAAAACAGTGGTCCAACAATGGATTCATGTTCACTGTGGCATTAAAGGCAATGAGCTTGCTGACACACTTACTAAGAAGGGGACAACGATTTTGCAATGCATGGACCGGCCGATGTCTTTCCACACAATGAAGGCCTTAATCAGAAGAGAATTCAAGACCTCAAGGTGCAACGAACTTAAAGCTTGAACAAAGGAGAAACAGTGGACAGTGGCACTCTCCAACATACCCGACTGGCCAAGAATCGAGGCCGTTGGTGAGTTTAGACTACGTACCGGACACGATTGCTTGGCAAAACACCTTCACAGGTTGGGAGTATACACTCAACCCACATGCCCTCTATGTAACCTACAGGAGGAAATGGAGAAGACCCACCTGATTCGGTGTCCAGCCCTAAAGGCAACGACGGAAAGCCAGAGATACTGGGAAGCCAGAAGACAGCTAATGAAATGCTATTAATAAACTGCTATATATGTACCCCCCCCCCCACCCTTGGGGAAGCTGAAGTCAAAGTTTAAGGGCTAATGGCAAATATCATAAAGCCTGCCATTTGAAATAATGATATCAATGTTAGCTTAACTTCACGATGATCACAGCCTGTTAGCCAGTTGAGTTATTCGAATTGTTCGTCATCATTTAGCACCCTTCTTCGACTGGGACTTCTCAAATGCGGGTATCATTTAATTAGCCTCACTTTCACCATAAATTGTAGTTTCACAGCACAATCAGGAGGAATGAAGCACAATCTCTTTTACTACAACCCTGCCCATTAAAAGGCAGTTGGTTTAAATCAATTACGATCGTATACAATTACTTAAATTTGTTTGATAGTTTTCTATTGATTTCACTTCTCTAAATATTACATGTTTTTCCTATTGTCACCCACTTTACATTACGGCTGTTATTATCCTGTTTCCTTGTTTGCGCTTTCTTTATCCCCATATTAACTTGATGCTGGAAATTTATTATGCGAGAAAGTAATTTATTTCTGCCAAGTACTGAGACTATTGAGCCGCCTTTGTTGACTAAGTCTGACTAAATTTTTTCCAGATATCAGACACACGAGGTCAAACTATCTTGATTGCTTTATCTCTTAGTTTATAAGAGTTAGTCGGAGGATTATAACGCCTCTAACCACTTTAGGTATGGCTCATATCACAATTCTAGCACTGACACAGCCACTTTTGGATATCCATGCAAATGTTTCAGACGCCTTACTGAGTAAATTCAAGTTGAAACCAAATAATGTAATTCTCATGGGACCAGATCAACAAAATTTGCAGGATGAGCTCCTAAATGGGAACTATGACTTGACATTTGTAGCTGGTGGTGCGGCTATGAATACAATAAGAATGCTGCAATGGATGGTGAACGATCCTAGGAAGCTCCAGTGCTATTGTCTTGGAAGTGTGGGACAGGATGCCGGAGCGGAATGCCTGCGAGAACTCATGGAAAAAACTGGGGTGATTACGCATTTTCAAGTGCAGAAAAATTCCCCAACAGGCATTTGCATGGCTCTTGTCAACCGATCGAATCGTTCCCTCGTCACCTCCCTTGGAGCCGCTGCAGAATTTACTCCAGAGTTCCTCCTTGAAAATAAGTCCTGGAAAATGGTTGAGTCAGCGAAGATATACTATTTAAGCGTGAGTTCATTGCCTTATAATTAAAATAAACTATTCTCTTCGATATTGTAATAAATATGTCGTTTACTTTAGGGATACTTCGTTGCCATAAGCATGAATAGTGTGGAAATTTTACTTGAACACATACAATCAACAAATAAAGTCCTGTGTCTCAACTTGGCTTCCCCATTCGTTTCTCGTATCCACTACAAGAAAATCGATACCCTAATCCCTTGTGCGGATTTTATTTTTGGAACTGTGGAGGAGGCTCAAGTTTTTGCCGAAGCCAAGAATCTGGATGATTGTAGTGCGATTGGCGCTGCTATGTATGCTGCAACACTTCAAAGCTATCTTGGAAGTAATCGAAGTCGGTTAATTATCCTCACTGATGGACCTAGATCGATAATGGCCGTGTCTTCGAAGGATTTGAAGGTTCGTACCTTCAACGTTGATCCAATACCCTCTGACGAATTTGTCGACACGAATGGGGCAGGTGATGGCTTTGCTGCAGGATTTCTTGCAAGTTATCTTGTAGAAAAGGATCTAGATAAGGCTATTCAAAGTGGGAAGAAGGCCGCCGCCTATATAATTCGTAGATCAGGGTTTTCTTTGGGTGATCGTGACGATTTCTAGGAGATGTGCTTTAAGAGTTCTTTGTACATGCAAAAAATTGTTTGCTTATTTTTAGCTAAAGAAGCAACTAATTTGATCCAAAGTTTTCCTTCATATTCAAAAGAAAAACATGAAGTTATTGTCCTTCACTTCACATCCATGCAAAGACACTCAATAAAATTTTGCGCGTAGAGGCTTTCTTTTATTGCAAAAATTTGTCAATTCATAAACAATCGATGATAATAATAAGTGGGCAAGAGTATGCATATCTGCAAAATAAACACTGGGGTGAAGGAGGGGATGGGGGTGAGAGAGGGAAGATGTGGTATACGGTGTACGAAATTTTTAATTCCCCTTAAAACAGCTAACTTTACTGTTTCTCGAAAGGTCTGTTGAATTTATTTTGCACATTCAGACAGTCATAAAGTTAAGCGATTTAACGTAGCATAGAAGTTCATGCTGGTCATTCCGTCAGTGGAATATTGATCCCATGGATTGCTTAATAGCACTGCTTTTTACCTGCGTAATATGCGATACAGCCAGCATCCTTGAACTCCACGAGCTGTGCTTGAATTTCCTTAAGTTATAGATTCACACTTTGAAAGAAGGGGTGTGGGATAGAATTACCTCTACTTGGTGCACCCTGGGCAACGTATTTTCTTACGGCAAAAAAGGCTATAAACTGAAAGTTGACTTCTGACTTCAAACAACCATTAGACTACTCTATATCATATTTCACCACCTTCACAGTACTCATCTTACCTTTTCTCTACCTTTGTGTCTGTCTGTCTATTTTACATCCTTAAATCGCTCTTCTGTTCCTCCTTCTTCTCGATATTTTTGTGACTTTGATGCTCCTCCCATCTGTGAAGCCTGAAGTCAACTAAAGTGCTACTGATATCCATCATTAATCCTGCCATCTGATATAAATTATCATTTAGAGAGAATCGGCATTTTTTTAGTCCTAAGCCACAATAGGCCAGTCCAACCAAGATCTTAGCTGATGCCTTTATTAAGTTACCTTCTTCATATCGTCATAGAGACTTCCCTTCCATTTCTTCAAGATAACTGTTTGCTATAAATGTAAATATGTTTCCATTTTGAATGATTCTGAATATGTATTCTTAAGTTTCATATAATTTAATCAAAAAACTTTTTTTTCATTTAGCATGAAAAAGTGAAATAATTACCCCCCTCTCATGCCCCGTGAACTCCTGAACTCAGCAAATTGGAGGATTTTAATCTGTGAAGCATTGAAACTAAGTTATAGATATCCTCAACAATCACGGCTTTAATTGAAGGATGAAGTTCATAAATGTCAAAAGTTCTTCTTACTTTCCTCTCCTTCAACATATTATTGAATTTAAGTCGATGCTTTAAAATGCCAAACTTATCATTTGGTCAGAAAGGTGTATATCTACTAAAATCGTTGCTTTTGAAGAGAGAAGAGCATATAATACTGTCTGAAATTTGCTTTCTTGTCGACTCGGTTTAAAATTATTAAATCATTAAATTGTAACACTGTGGAAGTATTAGCTTCAAGCGAAGTAAATGCACCAAGAAAAGTCAAAAAATTGCTTGCGTTGTTAAAAAAAACGCGAAAGTAGCCCTCATGCCATATGCTTTATAAACAATCCAAAGATTAAGAGAGAAGTTTTTAACTCATGAAGAGGTTATGAAGAGCACAACACACATGGCTGAACCAAGGCATATTATGCGTGCTAGAACGTGTTGGAATGAGCGACTTGCTACTAACGCCGTAGCCATTAAGTGCGCCGTATTGGTGGTCATTTTAGGACGCGTGTGTGGTCCTGAGGGCAGAGGCTTCTCAGTCAATCAACAAATAATAGTCACGGCGTGGTCAGAGTAGCCAAAATTGAATTTGATGACTAAGCTCCGTGTCAGTGGCACACGGTCCAAAAAACCGTGTTCCCCGACAATCTCCTGTTTCTTCCATATGGTTGAGATGGCCTGGCTAACAGCGAGATTAAATAAACGGATTTCACCTATTTTGTTGTGGAATATTGGTTAATTTTGGCAGCCTTTCAATACTAAGAATCTTGCATAAAGTTTATTATGGATAAGCTAAGGCTTGTTCTTAAATTAATGCACTATCCTTGCCAGACTCATTGCCTCACCATCTTTGAAATAAATTTTGCAATTTCGGACGTTTGTAAGTAAATTTAAAGGGGGCATGATTTCAAATGTATATGTTTACTTTCTACCTAGCAATATTCGTGAGTGACAACGAATTAGTAGACGGCATTCTGATGAGGTATCCGCGATGAAAGAGTGTAATATGTATTACACTTCCTGGTCAAGGTAAAGCATTGTTTCGTCTTTCTATTCAGGGAAGTGATTTCTTGGTTCGGATGGATAGACCTAAATTTTTACTTCACTTAAGTGAATGTGCAGTTTGACCTGTCACAACGTGTTAAGCTGTCCCTATTAATGTCCGTTTATTTTATTTTAGAGGATACCTAAGTTCTAATAGGAGATTTAAGCTATATAGATTTATAAATATTGTTCTTCGCTCTTTCTTCCTCTAAAGTATTCTTGTTAATAATATATTTGATTGATCGTCATTTCATCATAATCATAAGTGTTGTCTTGGTCACCAGTTCAGAACCTACCAGATTGGCAAGTCTTCTCATTCTGTAACACAGAGATTAACGAGTACTGTCGTATCAATTCACGAGGTAATCATGATGCTGCTAAAGCCCATAGTGAAAACTAAAAAAGAATCACTGAAACTCGGTCCTAAAATAAATTTATATTAATGAATTCTAATATTTTAGGTAAATATTTATTGTTAGTTTTTAAATTTCCATTACTAATGAAATTATGTTAGACCTTTAAGTTGTTTATGTAAATCAATACGAATTACGATATGCTGGCCGTAGTTCGAGTTCGTTTATTTTTTGCGAAAACTTGTACCCTCATTCTTTCAGATCCGGATTTAAATCATAAAATTTCTACTTTTGAAAAATGATCGCCGCAGATCCTAAACAATAAATCCAAGATTGTAGTAAATATTTTGTGCTAAATTTACTAAACTTGTTATTATGTCCAATTGATTGACAAAAATATTGTGTTTATTGATGTTTACGAATTCAAATAGAACTAAAATGAATGTCATTTTAATATAACAGTTTCAGAATGCTGAAAATTGGTAAAATGAAAATATATTTCTTGAAGATTTAAGTTATTTGTGAGGTTAGTTTTATCATTCGCACCACCATTTCGCTTACGTATTCGAGATATTAAAAGGGTGAATTTCTAATGCCTATCAGTTTTAAACATATTTGGAGAAAATGTTCACCGATTTTATGAAGGAGGATTTGATTACTTATGGTCTATATGGACATCCCACATTCCAACTCATAAGCATTTGGTGCTTTAAGACCGTGAAACACTGATATTGAAAATATTTAATAAATTAAAAGTCTCGTCAATTCCATTTTTATTTTCGTATAATATGTTGGCTTGTGTAAGCGTCATTTAAAATATTTAATTCCTTTACTATAGAGGGCCAGTTAAGCAAGAACTTTTTATTTTCATAAGCAATTTGTAAGCTAATAATACTTAAATAAGCAACTTGTAATTACATTTAGATTGTAGATGCATTCTCCGCAATAAATTAGCAGCCACGTGATTCGATAAATGCTTTATATGATTGCCTATGGTAGAGTTACCATCGGCAATGACTGTTTACCCCCGATAAGTGAATCTTCGTATAGTAGTTATCGTTCCTCTATATTGATTCATGGCACGCGTTAACTTACGTGGTTAGTATTAATCAATTTTGCATTAATTTTGTGATCTACTTACCACCCCCCCCCCCTTGGATAAGTAACGCATTCAAATCCTTGAAGCGCTTAGATGCGGTCATGTTTTTGTTAACTTGAAGTTAATTATAAACGATGTTGTGAGTGTTTTATGGCCTAAAATGCTTTCGTATTAAAAACCTGAACCTGATGATTGAAATATTCGGCTTCACTACACCATCGATTTAATGCTGATTTCATGTACAATATCGTGTAGATATCCATTTTGTTAGCCGCGAGTTAAAAAATCATTCCGATAGATAAACTATTTTCTTCTTTCACTAAGCTTCATCGGCCTCCAAGCCATTTCCAATGCCTGCATTTTGGACAGTATCCTCCTACATGACCCTATTTGCAGTTTATCGATTACAAGATTTCTGTTTCCGCCATCTAATAAAACCCTCTGCCACCAAATTTATCTCATTACGGTTCATTTTAGAAAGCTGTCTACCAATTTGCAGCTTTCCCATTGGACAATAACGCGGAGTTATGGAGAAAAGACCAGTTGGAAAAGTCGCACTGAGCAACCTAAGAAGACGGCCGTTAGAAACGATTAGATAATAAGCTGCAACTACATTAAAGACATGAAAATAAAACGACACATCGAAAAAGTACAATCGATTTAATTATTAAATCACATAATCACTTGTGATTTGGGGGGGGGGGGGGGGGGGGGAGAGGGTGGACAATTGAGGAGGAGGAGGGACTGATTAACGACAACAAATTAAAATCAAAACGTTGGAGATGAAAGTATAAAGAGACGCTGCTTATTAGATGAGATCCACTTTGTGAGTTTTTTCAATATATCGAAAGCCTCCTGCTTACTAACAAGGGGTTCTAGAGTCATATACACCTCCAGATCACCTTGAATCTGAAAGAGAAAAAAGATAGACTCGAATTCGGAGAAGTTGACAAAAAAATAAGAAAGCAGACGTGGCTTACAGAAGCAAGTTGAGCTTCTGTATCAGAAGCTTGGAATATACAACTAACTGGATGGATTTTGCAGTGGAGATTCTTGTGCATTACTCGATAAGCTCGTAGAACGTTCTCTTGCCTCTGCTTAACAGCTGCTATGATGGATTCCTTGGCTTCAGGAGAAAGAGAGTCCTGGGAATCATCCGGTTTTGTAGTAGGAGTATTGTAGTTGTATGGCGGAGTCCATCTGCTTGTTGTGTACTGAGCAGCAGGTACGAGTTTACAAACAAAGTGACGTAAACCACCTCCAAAACCCAACAATGCAACATCTGGCCAGGTTGCAGATGCTAAACACTTAAGACATTCTCCTTGTAAAGCTGATTGTAATCGCTAAAAGGAAACGAAACCACCTAAGAATCGGAAATAAGAATCGAATGCCTTGAATATTTCCACAAAATTCTACCGAGAGAATTTGGTCCCTGGAGTTCTGAAGAGAGTAGAACTTTTCACTATCAACAGTCATCAACACCAGACAGGAGTGGTTGTCAAGATAGGAGAGATTGGCATACAGATATCCACTGCAAATGAAAATACACAATTAGCTCCCACAGATAATTCATAAGTAAAAGACTTCTTACGCCGAAAACCTACTTAGAATTAAAATTGGGTAGACAGATAGGAAGCCAGTTAGTTGAGGCATTTCTGAAAGACTGCGAACATCGAACCAGATTTGTGATCAGATGAATATCAACTGGGTCCAAGAAGTGCTTCTTCATACTGACGATGCACACTACTCGGTAGTTTGTCAGTAGGATGGCGAAAAGGAGGTTCTATAACAGGAAAATTAAGCAGTGTGAGTGCTAAATGGAGGAACAATGCAGGACAGAAATTTTGTTCAGCAGGTTACTAAAATTTAATAAAAAAATCAAATGTTTTCAAAAGGGGAAATTTAAAATGAATAAGGAACTATATTAAAGTTTAAAGTATTTAACGGTTATAAACATTCTTGAAAGACAAGTTTAGATTAAGATGTGAACCTTCATGTCTATAATCAGACAATTGTTTGGAAAGAAGGGATAGAAAGTCAGAGGTCATGAACTCGATATCTATTGGTGCATAATAAGTAAGAGGAAGGGTTTAAGTGTAGCCAATGAAGATGGCTTGGGAATACAGTTCCTTTTCAAGAAGTCTCCATAATGTTTCTTACCTACCCTAAATAATTGCCAAAAGACACTTCCCTTGAGGGATTCGGCAGTTTCTTGCTGGGTGGTCGCCCAACTTTCAAAATCAAAACAAATAATCAATCAAAACCAATTAAACACTAAGCAGATGAAAAGATTAGGGCAACATCACAATCTTATCTTTCAAATTCGGTTAATTCAAGATGTCAATTGATTTAAGTATCGCATGAACGAGAAACACTTTGTAAAAAGTGTAACCACAGAAACATAAAAAAGCAGAATTTCACACTTCAGAATCGTCAGAACCACTTCACACCATATAAAGGAAACGATAGTAACTTTAACTAACCGAAATCATATTTTGGTAGTAGTTGGTTGAAAATATAACAATCCTGAAACTACGCATTGTTCCTGTGTTCTAAGAACTACGAAAGATTAAAAATATGAAAGGCATGCATTAAGTTCATATACAGAGGTCCAAATAAAAATTCAGACGAACAAAGAGAGGTATACTAGAAACACATTAATTGGATTATTGGGAAAGCAAATGTTTTCTTGGTAGTGGAATTGATACCCTTAACTTCTGTGGAGACGAATATGCCCTTTAAAATGACAGAATTGAAACACCCACACGTCCTTACTACAAGAATTGTTCTCAAATAAGTATTCTTTGTGAAAAATATCAATTTATGATATGAATGTGCAATAATAAACTTGTGGAACATAATTTTACCTGCGATGGCCTAGCCCCGTGTATAATGGCTTGAACAACTGTGTCCCGAATTTGGTTGGGCAAGGGAATACAAAGAACGGAGTTTAGAGTGGGTCCCATTTGAGTTTCGACCAATTCTACAGCCCCGGAGAGCAAGCGATTATCACCAATCATGAGGTTTCGAAGATCAAGATTCTGTTTTTGCATAAACCATTTGTCTATTCGTTGGTTAGTCAGAGCACTAACGATCTAAATTTTGGAAAAAATGACATAATAACATACTGTGACACTAAAGGATCAAACTTCAATTACAGGGATAATGAGAAAATTCAGTAAGTGAACAAGATTCGACGATATAAGTACCCTAGGTATAACGTTTTTCTTCAAAATGAGAACTACAGAAATTGGAAATGGCAAAAGTAAATGGACTTCAATACATAGAAAATATATAGACAAATTAACTATTTGTATTGAAAAGGCCTACCTGATTATATACATATTTCAAAATTACTGAAAGATGAGATATCGGTTCCTGAGAAGATCCAACAGCAACCAAAATAAGGTGGCCATAGGATCGAAAGATGATATTTTTGTCACCAGCAACAAGGGTTTGGACTTGGTCACCTAGTTGTGCAACAACTGAAACCAAAGCCTGCATGACTCCCATTACATGAGCTAACTTACTCTCATCCCCATACCTAAAATTGTAAAATAACGTAAGAAATATATTAGAGAACAGGTCTAATAATTTATTAGATTATAATTAATCACCTAGTATAAATAGGCTTTCCAGCATCACTGAATACGAACACATGGAGTAGGTTTGGATCAAGACCGAGATCTTTCGCTGAAGTGTGTATGGGAGAACAAGGTAGTGAGTTCGATTCGTGCAAAATAGGAGAAGATTCTGAGTGTTGCGAATCAAAATCGTAGAGGTCGTTTTCAGGTTCTTTCGGGTTCTTAATTGGACCGGGGAGTAGACCAGACGCTTCATGTTGATGTGAGTAGCCGGAACGTTGGTGCAAATTTAGAGTATCATCTGTTTCATTGTTATTATGAGAAAAAGGTGATTCCAAAACCTCATTTTCCACGCCAATATCGGCAGAAAATGAAGCTTCGAAATGTGCAATATTTCCATCCGTTTTGAACTGTGGCATTATACGAATAAAGTCCAAAACAAATTTTAAGGTCGCATGTAATCAGACAATATAGGAATTGAGGGAGAAGATAAAGTGGTGAAAGGTGGCAAATTTCAATATGTTTTAGCTGGAACATATTTTTAAGAATGAATAGGGGAATATATCTCTCAATCTTAGCATGTTAGTTGAAATTTTCGAAAAATATAAACTGGACTTGAAAGACTAGGCAACTGGTCTTTCCTCAAGAGTTATGCAAATGTGTAAAAATGTTAACGAATTCCATTTAATTTAAGAAATCAATATCCATAATATGATGTAGTTAATATCATTATTTATAGCATGTAGCAAATGCGCACAATTATTTTTTATTTATTTTCCACGAATAAAGATTCCTTGAGAATTAACTCTAATTTTAAACAATTATTTTCCAAATAAATACTTTTGGAAGTCATATATCATAATTATATCTTCAATTTCCCTTAAGATTTTTTATCGTAAATATAGTGAACAAACTCTGAGTTTTCTGATACTTCGACATCTATCTTCACACTATGCTCATAAAAATAAATTGATGTTCGAATACAATCTATTATAATTTTTAGAAACGAGTTAGTGTTGCTGCTTTTTGCATTCATTTATTTTTTTCTATATTTTATTGGTATTTGTTCTATTATCATAAATACTGACAACAACAATTGGGAAAAAATCTCAGGTAATGTTTGAAATATTTCGCTTATTTTAGTCTTCCTGTAAAAGTTAGTATATAGAAAGTAAGAGAGATAAAATTATTTAAAATCAAATGAATACCCGTGCAAACAATGTCACTGTCAAAGGCAGGAAACAAATAATTGTAAAGGCATTAAAATTCATAATAATAATATAATCAAATCAAGTTCTTTCATGCAATAAATGACCTAAGTTTGCCTCCTTTAATCATAGAAACCCAATAAATATATTTGTTGCTCTTCACCATGGGCATTAGCGGTACTTTCGAGTAAAATGGCGAAGTTGCTTAAAGGTTTGGTTGATGCTACCCCAAAGTATGCCGGACGTAAGGAAATATTAAATAGATAATATGTTGTTTTTAGTCATTTTTCGTTTCAGTATGGACAAAGGTCGTCCAGCGGTGGCTAAATTCTACAGGTATGCAAAGGTGGAATTGCGTCCACCAACAATGAATGAACTAACACCGGCTGTGGAGGAAGGCAAATCTATTATTAGTTTTTTCAAAACCGGCGCATGGAAGCAGAAATCCGTTAAAGTTTGTACTTATTTTGTTTAATTTGCCTTGATACATAGGAATTTGCCCTTGATACTGTTGTAGCCGTAGAAGTCCTCATGTGGTTCTTCGTTGGTGAAATCATAGGTCGAAGAAGCCTTATTGGATATAAGAAAGTTAAAGGAGCATATATTGTTTCTCATTAGTGTAATGTAATTAATCGTAGAATTAAATTTGTAGTCAATTTGAGGCTGACTTTTTCTCTTCAATTATTGTATTTCTCTGCTTCGCTTAAATTTTTTGCTCAATTTTATGAAGGTAAAATTTAAATATGTGTCATAATTTTTTATTTTACTGGCTTACGGTTCGTACTTTGTTGCGTAGACCAGTTTTGCTATTCAAATTCTTAGTTTATCTCTTCCCTTTTAGCCTTCGTTTCTTTTTCACTGTTTTGAATGACGTATTTGTGGCTTTGTGCTTCAAAACAGCAAATATTACTTCTTATCTATTTCTGGTTAGCAATATTGCTAGTTGTAGATCCTTCATTGTATGTCTTACATGTCTAAGGTCGAAATATGATAGTCTAAGGCATAAGGGTTTGGACTTACGTAGGCTTTAAGCGTTTTCTCAGTGTACTCCATCGAACTCACCGAATAACTTTGACTTAACGCAAGGCTCATTTAGGTATTTTTAGAACCTTGCTAAGTGGGACTGATATCGGCAAGCTTAAATCCCTTCTTAGTATTTTGAGATTCGTTGATTCGGAAATACCACTTTGTCTGCCTTAAAGGGTTAATACGCCTTGCTAAGAACATTAATAAATTACTATAAGTCGAAATTTACGGAAATACTCTTATACACCTCTAAATACTGAGTTTAATAAAAGTGAATATTGCAAAAGTCCTAAAGCCTCAAATAACAGAGATGCCATGCACTTTCATGGCAATGAGAAATCGTTACGTCTCGCTCGCTTCTTCCAGTGGTAGTATTAAAAACTGCCTCCTGCCCTTTTCAAACTGCCAATGAAATTCTGAGTTTAGTAAAACCTAATTAGTGTTTTTGGATGTTTCTTAATTACAAATTTAGTTATAGGGGGGGGGGGGGGGGGGGGTAAAATCCCTCAACTCTTTTAAGGAAGCATTTTTCAAGACTCAACTTAAGCAATGAAATGGTGCGTATAGATTCCCCAGATTGAAATCCGAATTCACAGGACGAACCCAGTGTGCTTGACCATTCTCCTCACCGAACCCTTGACCTTTCAATCAGTGGACAATGTTCATATCAACAAGCAGCCTAAACTATAACCCTGTTTCTACTTCACACGTTGGGTTGTTGTTTATTTCCATCTGCTACGAAGCGAGTCACACGTGGGTCGTTTATAAAAAGAATACAGCGTATTTAAAAGAAAACCATCATTGCCATTTTCATCACAGTCGCTGTTGATGAAATGATATGAATTCTTGAAATGTGTTCAACTCTTTTATTTTAATACCAGAGGCACTGACGCCATAGCAACCCAAACATAATCGCACCAGCGGCAGTCCTTAATGAGTACTAATGTTTGTTAGGTAAAAGGAAGGTCAATAGTCGACCTTAGCTTTCGTGATCCAAGAATTTTAAAGTTTTTAAAATGTGAGGCTATTTTTAATAGTATGCTTGCGTATAATGCCCACCTAAGCCTTAATGAAACAAACTGACGAATTTCAAGTCATTGGCAGATCCACAAGTCTCCAAAAAAGACACCTTTAGAAGTATTTAGTTATAGAATCCAATATGACCCTCAAAAGTTTGAGTTATACCATGCGAGGCTTATGTTCAAGTCTAGTTGATGTTGGTAGGTAAAAACACGTTTTAATTCTAAAACGTACTGCATTTATATATATCAAACGAAAGGTTTCGCATCCACCGTTTAAGACACAACAAAAATCATTCTGCACAGGTTATACGGCAATCTTGTAGTCCATATCGGTGGTATTACATAAATAACATGAGTTATAGTTACTTACAGAACCGCGTTTGTGTCAACGTAAATTCGTATTTAAGCCACTTTAATTAATCTTAAATGACTAAATTTAAGACAATAAAGATGAAAATAATGAACATTTAAATATCTCGAATGAATTTGAGCATTTCTCAGTCCAAAATTCGAGTTTGAAATCTACTACTTTGATGAACCTTCCCTCTGTGAAGCCCGAAGTCAGCTAAATGGCCATTTGAAATAAATAAATTGCAAGAACATAAATGGTTAAAATTATCTTAGCAAATATAGAAGTTTCAAATAAATAGGCAAGTAGTTTAGGCAGCTAAAAATAAAAATTAATAATTTATAGGTGTTCCAATATGCACACCGTGTTAGAAGCAAAAATACAAATTTGATTACCTAAATGATTCTTTGAATAATAACTGAAGTGAAAACATGCCAAAATATAAAATTTGATAACTATTTTAATCAAAATTATTAAAAAATAAAATAGCGAAAGTATGATTAATAAGTATCATTAATTAGAAAGAGAGATTTTAAACTTATTTTATGTATAGAAAGTAAAATTCAGATAGTGTTTATCTCTTTCGAAAGCCCATGACAAGGCTTCCGCTTAACTTGAATTGCTTTGGCCGATTTATATTAATGCGCGTAATTTGAATTCTGGAAATTGGCGCAATTAGTTTGCTAGCTTTTCCTATCTAACGTAACATGAATCTATTTCATCAAAACTTGTTATTTTACTGATGCTTTATTCAATAGCAGATGCATGCTTTGCTCGAATATTTTTACCTTTTTTGTTAGATTTAGAATATATTTAAATTGCAATACTCAAAATTTTATAATTTTCTATCTTATATTTTTGAAATATTGATTTTATTCGATTTAATTTTTTGCTTTCAATTGTAATTAATAATTTGTGGTTCTTATTATGTCTTCATTTTCTTTCTTTAGATACAAACACATATACAAATATAACTCAGTTGATACAATGGTAAGATGGTTTAGCTTGTTAACTGCCTACTAGGATTACACTGCCTACTTAAATTCTTTGTCAAGCCAATATGGTCTTAAGACCTCTTCAGTAAAAGATACAATTCAACAACTTCAAGATAAATTAAATCAGGACAAAATCAAGCTTCAACAATTGTTTAAAGAGAAGCTTATTACGCCCAAATCTTCCAAAAAATACACATCCCATATTAAACAACTCAATGAACAGATTAAAGACCTTTCAGAGGATATAGGTGAATTAGATACTTGTCTTCTCATTCTTCGACACAAACTCCCAAGTGAAATCCTGCGTGCAATGCGAGATGATGCCACCTCAAATGCTCAGATTATCGCTTCCATTCAGAAAGCTTTGGATATTGAAATTCGTGTTCGATACGGTGCTGAACGTCTGTGTCACACTTACAAAGATGGGCCGAAGGAATATCTTGAATTAGCTAAAAGGCAACTTGATGGTGCTGAATCTAAAATTGGATTTCTCCGAAATCAACTTGCTCGGCTTAAGCATGCCAGTGTAAGTAGTCTTTTATATATTAGCCATTTTAAAATCGTCATTTCCTAGTCGAGATAAATGAAGATATTCCTTTTGTTTTCATTGTATGTAACTTTGGTTTAACGGATTCCCACTCTGTTCTTATTTTCTGCCTTTATTTTGGCGTAGAACTAAATACATTTCATAGAATTCGTTTCCTAAGCTTTCTTTCACTGTTCATTGTAACCAAATTGGAAACCTAACCTTGAATGCCAATTTCACAAGTGATATTATTTGGGCAACTGATTGAGCCTTATTGATTGCGTTGAATTTGTAGTTTCTTTGCTTTTATCATGTCCTAGGTATTTGTTTCAGAGTAATCTACCTCATCTAAATTATATTTATTCCCATTAATCATATTTCAGCTTACTAAGTTCGATTGCTTGGTGTAATTTTCCCATCAATTACGTTATGAATAATGGATATATATTCCATTAAAGTGCAGACAGTTTTAATTCACTTGGTCGTTCTCTCACATTTTCGTACGTTCTACTTTATTTGATTCGGAATTCAATTATAAAATGCACCTTAACGATTTTCAAGACGGCTGGAGATATTTTTTCCATCCTCTCTTTCAGAGCATTCTGTCATTCTCTTGGCTACTTGAGCTCTTTGAATGAAGTCTGTTCTCTACTTTCCTCAAAGCACTATACGCCATAGCCTATCTACTATAGTTCAAGGGAGCATTGAGTTTGATCATCGAACCATAATATTGATTAGATTAGTTGAATTAGTGTTTATGTAAAATGCTCTTTTTTTCCTAGTTAGGAAAGCACTTTCAATACTCATCTAGGGACGGACCTTGATTTCTACCATCTTTTAAGTGGTCAGAGATGTTGGTTATTCCGCTCACTCAGTGTTTGTTACAGATGTAAAGTTTCATTGCTCTTTCAGTTTTAAATTTTTCTTCGCTTGAAGAATTTGAAATATTCGGAAAGTCGATTGCGTCTTTTGTGAGGTTAATTTTTCTATGATACTTGTGTTTGTTTTAATTTCTATGCGACTTTTTTTTCTAGCAATCAGATGAATCTGGCTCAGTAATATCATCTGCTGAAGGCGCTGTTTGTGTATCGCCAACTTTCTCAGACACTAGTTTTCTAAATAGTGCCTATACTGGAGGCGTGATTCCTCCTCTAACCTGGCAACAGCAGGTCGCGGATATGAAGTACCGCCTTCGTATTGAACGCGCCGTCTATGAAGGTGCTGGTAAAGTCCTCAATGCTTTCATCGGCCCTCAGAAATCGGCAGAGAAATCGCCAAAGTTAAAGGTGAGCTTAAGCGTTATAATCACCCCCCCTCCCCTCCCTTCTATCCACCCCAGGTTGTTTTTACCAATTTATGTTTTTTTATTCTCCTTATTGATTTCCAGCTTTATGGTAGCTTCCGGGACAAGTCAAATAGCTTTTCTGAGAAGAGAGCCGAGGCAAGTTTCCTTGACGGATGAGCCTTAACCTTCATACTAACTCAGCATTTACCTCCAAATACTTGTCCTTGCTTTGATGACTGTATTAACTTTAATAATAATTTCAATAGGGTAATATTCACCACACATCGGATGAGTTATCACCTGCAATACTCTTTGTCCTTGCGTATACCATCATTGGCTGATCTTTCCCTTATTTTTATTCAGGCCTATCTCCGCCTGCGGGAATACTTCCAAGAACTCTATCTTCTCCAGCTTTCAATGCAGAACTTGATATCAGTGCCTCCGCCAATGGGTAATCATGAAAATAATCCTCAATTGGCTGCGGCTTTTGCTGAGGCCATCAATGATCCAGAAATCCAACAGCTTCTCGAACATCCAGACAATAAGCTGGAAAGCTCTTCTCTTTCTCCAGCAGAAGGGATTGGAGTCAGAAAACATTCAATCTCGTCAATGGCTACACCTGCTATTACCTCAGTTACTGGTCTACTGGAAGTTCGTTGTATTGGCTGTGAAGGTTTGCTGGAAACTTTTCCTGGGGAAATAGTAAATATGGGATCTTCACCTAGTCCTAAGAAGCGACCTCTTGTGAATTCACTAAGGGAATACTCGGCGAGATTTGAGGATAGGCCTGGTACGCGCATATCTTATAAATTGTTCTTTTTTTATTTTTATCTATCCATTTGGCAGTCAAGTGGATTCATGTTGTCTAAAGGGTTGAGAAGGTCTGTCCAACTTGAAGTGGTGATTACCAAATTTAACTCTCTTCTTTTATCTTCAAAGTGGCTGATTATTGCCTGTTAATTTTCCAACTTGTACCAAGGCGTTTGAGGCCATTGGTGATCTATGTTCTTTTGTTGTAGACTTTTCGAGTCAATTGACGCACCGACCACTATTTTATAAAATCGAATAAATCTCACGTTTTCCGCTAGCAATTTGAATTATATAATATTTATATATAATATAATATATATAATATATATATCAATAATATTTCAAATGGCAGGCGTTTTGATAGTTATCATTAGCCCTTTAGCTGACTTCGGATTTCACAAAGGGTAGCAACATCAAATTCACAAAAAGTGGAGAGTGGGAACAAAATAGTGATTCACAGATGTAAAAGAGGCAGACTAAATGGTGGGGAAAAAGGTAATGTGAGTACTGTGGAAGTGGTGGAATATGACATACATTGGGGCCATTGTAGTTTGAGGTCAGAAGTCAACTGTTTGTTCATAAACTTTTGCGTATGAGTAAACGTTGCCCAGGGTGCTCCACGTAGAGGTAAGTCTATCGCGCACCCCAATTCAACAATATTTGGTTCCATAAATAAGCTAGAGAGTTGATGTTGCTGGTTTCTTCAGGTGCACAAAGTCAAGATAGCTAATTTGATTCTGATTATACTCTCGGGGTTAAAAAATGTGAAAGTGTGTTTATCCGTCTGCTTTAACATTAGAAATACATTATTATTAATTATTTGTGTTGTACTGAGAAGTTGTAGTATTTCACCGTATAAGGGGAGATGTTGGTTTTCGTGAACAAAAAGTTGGTACGCACTCTACAACCTACTTAAAGCATAGTTTGCCTGAAATCGTTTTTTATTCTGAAATCAGCCCCCAAGGCCCCTAGAGCACTCATGCTTTTGTTTGAATCTTGGCTATATTGCCTTGGTTTTTCGGATTTATTTCTATTTACTAATCATATGAATTTTTCATACTCGATTGCGCACTGAGAGTTGGAGCGCAACATTGATCTCAGCAGATTGCCAGTGCTCTGTTCTCTCCTTCACAGTTTCACCAACCTCCCCGGCAGTCCTGTCATTCACAATCTTTCTCTCGTTAGCCTGCATATGCGTGTGTTTGCTTGCGTGTCAAATTTGTGCGACTTTCCTTAATCCAGATCTTTTGTGTGTGTGTGTGTGTGTGTGTGTGTGTGTGTGTATGTGTGTGTGTGTGCAACTGTGTGTAACTAAGCATGCGCGCATGATTGTGCCTTCTCTGTCAATAAAGTTTTCTTTTAATTAAAGCAAATAAGGACTTTTCCCTCCCTGAATGCGTTACACTCGATTCAATTCAACTTGCACTGACACTACTTGCAGCTATTTCCTGACAATTAAACCCCCTACAGTTTGGTTTTAGATCTTTTATGAACCACCTTCCATTTCCTTTACCTTGTGTTGTGTTACGGCGATTTTTCAGAGATGCGTTTGGCAGATTAAGAAGTTGGGAGATCAAAATTCTTGCTCTCTTTGAATTTTGGAAACACTTATCCATAAAGAATATAATCAAACCTCTTTTGTCCTATTGATCTTTTTGCGATAATTTAACGCTAAGGCTCATGGTCGAGGTTATGCTTGCGACATTCAGAGTCAGACTGTGTTGCTATATCTTCATCTTATTACAGTCGTAAGAAGGAAAATGAGATTGAGAGGGTCTGCTACTATTAATTTAAGCTGTACTTTAATTGCTACCATTTCGTCAATCATCTCTCATAAATAATCAATATAAAACCTCGAACACTGTTTTTCACGGGAAGGCTTCCATTCCTATATGAAAGAATGCATGCTTGTGCAATAAATTTAATTTTCTCACAGTTTGGTTTTTGATAATTATGCTTCTTCTTTATCTCATCACTTTATTTTGCTCTAGGTATATTTCCTATAAACACCTTTTACGGTGTTGTGGATGGTTGTTTTTAAAATCCACTCTCCCATAATTGTTATTTTATTTCAACGCCTGTTTGGGAGTGAAGACGATTTCCGAAATGCCATTTCGGTACCGAAGCGCACTCGGTTATTTCAATTAGCCTTTTTCTAGGCTTGATCTTAATTTATCATTAGGCTACCTAGGTATTTTCACCTGTTGCTAAGCTTATTTTTAAGATCAAATTAAGTTTAGATGCCGCATATACTCTAAATTGAAGTCATAAATGCTTTTACGGCTTTTGAGATTGTAAACTTCGTGTTTAATGTGAGACTCTTTCTTTCTTTATGATCAAGTACTTACTTGAGGCCAGTTCACTTTCAATTAAATTTCCGCCATATAATACCTCCGAGTACCGTTGACGAGTAGTCTTGTCTCCTTGTGTACTTTCATAATAATGAATTATTGTTTTAGACTGATTGAGTTTGTTTTATTATTTGTACAACCTTCCTTGCTCCTTAGAAAGAATATTCACTCTTTTTTCTCCTCTGTAGGCTAGGGAAGCGATAGTAAAGAAAAATCACCGGATCACTGTTATATAGTACCGTAGTTCTCTAATTTTGCCAATTTCATTTGAATGTGAAATTGTATCCTCTTGGAATCATCCCACCCTTCCAATTATCAGTTTATAATTTTATCGACATGGATAGTTTTTTGTCTATTCTCGATATGTACGACTTTTAGTTGAGTTTTCGAATTGGACGTATTTTCTCCATTTATAAGTGTTATCCCGTTTTCAGCAAACTTGCCAGTCTAATCTTGCTGTTTAAAGCTTTCGTTTGTGAACCCTCCTTCAGCCTTCAAGCATTAAATGATTTGAATTCGTCCAGCTATTCTGCTTAATTATTCCTTTTGTGGTTTTTGGGTTGGCGGTTGGTTTCCATGCCCATCTAAGTGCATCCATTGGTTGAAATGACCAACGCTACCGATTGAATGAGCTTGGAGGAATGAATCGCAGAAACAGACTTTCTCAAAATGCAACTTCTGCCCGAGATGAGTGTTATACCAATACTTCTTAAAGGGCTTGTGATTTAGCTCCAAAAGCTAAGAAAGTCTGATCTAGCTTTTTTAAGTTGCATCGCTCATTGTTAGAAATAAGCGAATGCTATGGTTTTGGGTTTAAGAGATAGAGTTGAAATTTAAAAAAATCTATACGGGTGTTAAATTTACTCTTTAACGTGATTTTGATCAGGATATAAGTGCATAATTCATGTAGTCCTATCGAAAATGAAGTCCTTATTTGGCTACATAAGTGAATTGGTAATTAATTAACAGGCACAAGTGTGGGCCGTTGTTAGCGCTTGGTCTTACTTTTCCTTATGCAAATTTTGCTCAGAAGGCCAAGGCGGCGGCGGAGTACGAGGAGGTGGTGGTGGAGGAGGAGGAGGAGGAGCTAATTTGGTCACCAAGCGCGCCAACTAACTGATTTCTCTCTAGTCCCTTATTCCGCTCACTGATTCATAACAATGGAGGGCTCATCAAGTGGCGAATTTCATATTTTTTTCGGACTCTGAAATATCTTCGTAATTTGAGAACTGCTGACACTTAGAAATGTAATGAGTACTGGAAGTTAAATTTTAGAAAGCTTTAAATATTTTTTGTTCCATTTCACTCACTGAATTGGGTTCCCGATCTTTTGAGTCAAATAAAAATTGTAGCCTTATTTTCTTCGGTTAAAATGGTGACATTTTTCCCAAATCTTTTTGTTTTTTTTGCGAACAATATTTTAGGCGTATACAGAGTACTTTTAACACAAGAAAAATATTTTAGTGAGACTGACTTTCGCTTTCTTTCTCGGAGTCTGGTAAAGTTGTTGTTGCTACCTACTACAATGGTAGTTGTGCGTCTACAGTCTACAGTCAAATATCTGTACTAAAGTGTTTTTAATTTGAAACGCTTCTCTTGGTAATTGTCGTTAATCCCTTCTTTATTTGTGTCGTTCACGCACCTAAGTGCCTTTATTATGATCGGCAAACAATTTTGCGACTTGGTTTAAGACCAATATGCACATTCATCCATCTACACGAGAGAGGTTTTGTTTGTTCCTAAATGGCACTGTTTCACAGAAGGTAGACATCTTGGAGAACTACTGATGCATCTGCTATCAACCACTCCAGTTTTAGTTTGCTACCTTTGAGGTATTCATTCTTTGACTATTTTCCTAATGCAAGTACTCAATGTGCATCTTTCTCATTTTTGTTGTTTGAAGAGGGATAACGTTTGGACACCTTCTCTGGCACATCTTATAGGGACTTATGAACCGTCACTTCTCTCCCCCTAAATTCATCTTTATTTCCTTCACTTTCGTTGGCTAATTTAGTCTACTGAGAATTCAACAGGATGACCTGGGCGTGCTTGCATAGACAAAGACAGAATACTTAACTCTTTCCAAGGTAGCTGCATTTGGAAATGAGGTGATCTAATGGGCTTACTTTGGAACTTAGATCTCGCGTTTAATGTGATTCACCGTTCTAATTTCTCTGTTCTCTGCGTTGTAAACACTTCTTCACATGAAAAAGGCCCTAAAAGGTTATTTGAATTCATTTAGCTGGTTCACATGTGTCAGGATTTTGTACATCCCAGTTGATTTATGTCCCCTCCATTCTGTCAATTTTAGTTACTTTAAATTATTTGTTTACACACTACGAAAATGGGTTGCACTGTCTTACTACTATTTGTGCGCTGTGGCAGTGTGTAAACGAGGATTTGTACTTTATTTGCTTTTAATAAATTGCGTTTTAAGCTGGTCAACCGTGCAACTGAAATGGTTTAAATATTATCCTTTGTTTGTGGTCTGGGAGATGGAGGGATGACGACCTTTCCTCTTTTGATGATCTATAGTGATTGAATTTTAATAAGTGTGGTTCGGTGATCGTCTGCTGATTGATTCCCTAATGTTATACCTCTTTTATTTCGTGCATCTGATTTAAATGTAATTTTATGGGGGAGTCTTTGAATGAAAAATGTGTATTGCTTTCAATGCAAAGTTTGCTTAAAAGGAAGAGGAAATAAAGCCATTTGAAAGCAAAGGCCTGCACACCTGGACCTGCGGTCGACGTGCTATTTTGTCTAATATTAATATGCTTCAGCAGGTTTTGCTCCATA